TAGTTTACTAATATTATTTTCTTGTAGATAATCATTGTTTTGTTCTCCGTGTTAATTTTCACTCTGATTCAACAAAATTATATAGAAATAAATAAGTAAGTTGTAGCTATTACTTTATAGTTATTTATTATTTTTTTTTCTTTTAGATAAATCATATATTTCGTGCTGCTCTCTATATTCTGTTGTTTTATTTTATTATAAAATATTTGCTGTAAGTGATCAAGCATGTTTTATGTAAGTGTCTTAATTTTATTTGTAGATAATTGTTCTTTTGGTTATCGACGTTGATTTTGACTTTTATTCAACAAAATTATATAAAAAGAAATAAGTACGTTATACGTATTACTTTAAATTTATTTAATATTTTTTTTCTTTTACATAAATTATATTTTGCTGGTACTTTCTGTGTGCTGTTGGTTTATTGAGCTTTAAATATTTAATTGGTGTTGTCAAGTATGTTTTAACTGTCTCAAGTTTCTTAATTTTATTTTCTTCTATAGAATTATCGTGTTTATGGTGCAATTGTGTCATTTTAGTTTTTAAAAGTATACAATATTGATTATAGGTAAGTTACATATTGTATTCTAATTTCTTATTAGATTACTCCGTTTCAGGAAACTTTTTTGTGCTGCTATTTGTTGTTTAAATCAATGAATATACTCGAATTGAACAAGTAAGTTTAATCCAATCTTTTAAAAGAGTTTATTTGGTAAAAGATGTTAAAGTGAGAAGAAATAAAGAAAAATTATCAAAAGAACATTTATATAGTAGTAAAAGATTTGCCATAGGGATGTAAAGGAAAATAAAATGAACCATTTAAACAAACTAGTTTTAAAGGTTTCTTATAAGAAATATCATCAAGAATGAAACAATCCATTTTGTTCGTTTCTTGAACTTCAAACGCCCTTAATTGTTGCACATAACCTTTAACTGTATACATATTACAAATTAGCGCGCAGCTATTACCATCATACAACATCCATTTGATTTTTCCAACAATCGGTAAAGACGGAAAATGGTCCTTAGAAACATTAAGTACTGAATTATGTGAATATTTATACCCTTTTACGGTCAGGGTTTTTAATGTAGACAGTGGTTTGAATGGTAATTTCGGCAGATTTGAAATAACAAATTGGATTTGCCCATCAGTAATTGGTTGTCGATTGTCAAGCACTCCGTGAGAACCATTTGAGAGAGCTGTATGTGATAATGATCCATCATGAGAATGATCATTAATGCAAATCCATAATTCGTGTCTTCGAGCTAACATTAATGAAGGATTCTTTAAATTCCGAACTTTGTTACCTTTAAAAAACTGATGTTTTCTTTCTGTTGCTAAGCATGATGTATAAGGTAAAGGTCCAAAATCTTTCATTATTACTGGAAAATGAGTCATAAAATGGAATTTAAATTTCATTTTCCCTGGATATAGTTTTCTAAATTGATCATTATGCATATTTATAAAATGATGTAATTGATTAGGTGTAGTATCATTAATTGTAGTTGCAAAACACAATGAGAGAATGTCCACACAGATTAAAATTGCTCGATATTGTGGAAAGTCTGATGAATGCAGCAGTCTTTTTAGAATGAAAGGTAAATTAATAAATAAATAGAATATCTACATTGATGTAAGCGGCATTCCCAAATTGTTTTGCTTTTTTAGTTCATCAGCTGCTAAATCAAGATGTGGTTTTGAGTTCAGTTCTGTTTCATCATATGGAAATTTATTAACTTGATGACAAAATTCATTCATGGTAAAGTAGCCTTTTGCTACACAAAAATCCAAGAATGCATTGAGATGATTAGGAAGCACACCCTTAAAATAACAGACGAAAAAGTTCTAGATACATTCAGTTTGTGAAATTTGCTCAAAATTATCTAGTTTTTTATCAAAATCTTATATGAATAAAAATTGTAAAACTTTCATAATTATTTTCTTATTATTCTTTTGCCTAATAGAACGTGATTAGATTCAGAAAAGATTGTTTAAGTAGTGTTCGAAAGAAGACAACTGGCGTCATGACTCTAAACATTCAGAATTCTTTTTTAGTTTGTCAAGATCTTTTAAGTTTTTTAATGTTGAAAACAGCTGCTTCACATTGGATAAGCAAACTGTCCTGTTCTATTGAAAGATAATTCTTCGTATGAGCTACCACAACTTCTAAGTCGTTATGTTACCTCTAACAAAGTGTGCATCACATCATAAGGACATTGACGTGTGACATTATATACTTGGTCAAATAAACTTCTATTATTGATTCCATATTTTTTTGACAGGTACTCAAACGATTGACCACAACCTTGAACCAGTTCCAAGTCATCGCATCTACCAAAAACAAAATTTTCAAAGTAAATAGAAATTTTTCTAACAAACCGTTCTCTGTATTGAGATAAAGTAATAGCTGGAAAGTCATAGCTGATGTCTTCCTCTAAATTATCGTGCTGAATGTCACAAAGATGACAAAAATGTGTAGCGGCAACACTTTCTTTGAATCCGTTTAAAGACATTTGAGCTGGATAATCACCCAATGAAATAAATAAACCACCAAAATAAGTCACATCATTGCCATTTATATTTATGGTGATACCTAATTTTCGAAAATATATTTTAATTTTTTTGTAATTAGTTTTTAGGCTACCGGTGCTAGAAAGTTGATTTATTCCCATTAAAAAATCATCTATTGTATGACATAATGAATTATATTTTCTTGCCCATTTTGGGCAAGCTGCAATGAGTCGTTTCGATGTTTGTTTTGATCGTTTCTCTCTTGAAACATTTAAGAGAGACCAATAAAAAAAGAAAATCGAATGCGCACGATGAGAAATAGGATTGGTAACTGTTAAATCATCTGAGTTTAATTCAATTTTCAAATAAGTTGCTCTTTGAAAATCTGGATGATTTCTCGCAAATATTCCATCATGAGTGTCTTGAATACAATTTGTATCATAATCAGGAGGAACACGATGAAGATCAGCTTGAACTTCTGGTAGTTGTAAATAATTCGCCAAGCTACGTAGAAATGGTACATACGTGTACTTGACAGTCTTAATTTCTTTATTCTTTGTAATTGTCTGTGAAACGATGAAAGAAATGTGGAATTTTTATAGATTTTCATCAATTATTATTTAACCCTCGGATGGTTTTTGTGGGTCCGGCTAGACCCACATAATAGCATTGTCCGTTTCCTGCTACATTAATATATATCCTTTTCCAAGCAATTTCTTTTACTAGCTCTCAGAGCTAAGCTTAGAAAACAGATCGCTCGGAAAAGGGTACGTATTAACGTAGCAGGGAACGAAAAATGGTATTATGAAAATTCAGCCAGATCTGCAAAGACCATCCGATGATTAAAAAAAGAACTTGTCCTACGTAAAAGTTAGACTAAGATTGATTGAAGAATATACCTCATATGAACGACTTATTGGTTCACTATAACCAAAGTATTCAGCAGCTTTTTTCTTTCGAATATGACTAGATTTCAATATATCCAAACCGACAGCTAAAGCTTTGGTATTCTACAACAATAAAAAGACGAGATTTATATGGAATTGATTAATACCAAGATTCAGACCAAATTAGCCTTTGAAATGGCGTGAAATAATTCCATTAAACTTGAAATAACAAAATCAATACTAGCCTCAGATGTATAAAATACTGTCTGAAGAGTTAGCAAAAGATACAAAACACGTTTCTCAAACATTTTGAGCAGTTCTTCTTCGCTTAAATCCTCCGTAGTACTGCTAGTATTTGTTGACTCGTTCTCCAGATGTTTATCTTCTTCAACATCTTCCCCAAAAACATCTTCCTGGCAACTTGGATGTATCATTTCCACATCATTATCTTCTTTCTATTCATGTTGTTGCATATCTTCACCATTGACTTCTTTTTCATTTATATGAAAACGAGACCAACTAAAAATTAATGATGGTTATATTCTTAAAAATAAAAAGAAAAAATTCTCACTGAGTTTGAAGACTTCTAACATTACTAAAAGAACCACCACATGAGCAGATAAGACGAATATTTTTACTGTGACTATGTAAATCACGTTGGTGTTTTACATATGATGTTAGAGTGTTAAAATCAATCTTACAAATAGAACAGTGCATACTTAATCTAAAAATAATAATTCATATTTGTTTCTCTTTTCTAGATGAAGATAATATTCGAACATGAAGATCGAAAAACAACAGTTATCGGAACCGATTATGATTCAATTGTTGACAAAATAAAATTACTTTTTCCCAATGAAAATCATCGATCAATTCAATTTTATGATACTGAACTTGGTGATTACTTCGAATTTACTTCATTTGAACAGATCAGTGATCTATCTAATGGAGTTAAAATGCATTTTGATATGTCAAATACATCAAATTTATTTATTGCCGATCATTCTTTACCATCATCGTTAAATAATGGTAAAAATGATGAAAAAAATAATCATGTTACACCAAAAGCTCAATTAAGAAGAATTCGAAAAAAAAACAAACTGAACTTGATGTAAGTTTTCTTTTTTAATTCTTGCATTTTTTTCAATTGTTTTTTTCTAGGATAGAAATGATGAACCAATTGTATTACCTACATATTGCGATTTAATAACTCAGGGGTTGAAATCACGCGGTTTGTTAAATACTTCCTTAAATTTTTATTGGTTCTATATGTTGTAGAGTCTTTTTCTTCGATTCAAAAAACTTTTTTGGAGCAAACATGTACTCATTTTCTTCGACAATATTGGAATTCATCATCAAAATCTCTTCACTATTCATTCGTCTTAGCACTTACTGAAAAATTTCCAGCATTAAATTATTTAGATAAAAATATTGACGGAAAAAATGGTAGAGCACCACACGTAAGTTCCTTTTAACATATTTAAACAGCTAATGAATTATTTCTATATGAGTACTGAAGATATGTTAAATATGTGTATGACATACATAGAGAATGGAAAAAAAGCAATCCTGAAGGAATGTGATACATAAGGAATTATCCAGTAGAAGAAGAACAAAGCATAGGAAAAGTTCAGTAAATAATGTAGGGAGAAGACCAACGTACTAAGTGTTAGAATCTATTGTGAAAATCCTGAACAAGTGCCACTTTCTTTTTACTCGTAGCACACGATCTCTCAACTGATTTCTCGAAAGAAAAGGAACATAAAATGTTCCAAAACTCATCCAACACCGAAACGATCAAGATTATCCACAATCAATTCAAATGCTTATGAGAAAACAAATGAAGAATTAGTTTCTGAACAAGCACCACAAAAAGATGATGAATTTGTTGCAACAGTTCAAGCTGATGACAACAGTTAGTTTATGTAAGATTAAATCGAAAAGAATTAATCTTTTTTGTTTATAGATTTATTGAATCAAACTTCACTGAATGGTTTATATGAATTATTACATGAATCCAGTGTAACCAAACCGCCAACAGCATTACCTGACCCAAGTAGTACGTAATTTAAATTCAAAGCAAAAAATAAATCATTGTCTTAACTTTGAATTTATTATTTTTCTGTCAAGAACAAACAACTGCACGACTTCCACCACCAAAGACACCAATTCGACCACCAACAAGTTCGAAAAATGATCGACAAGCAACTATTTCATTAGTACCACCATCAAATCCATCATCTGTTAATGTTTCGTCGATTGATACAACATCTATTTCAAGTAAATTACCTCTGATAACAAGTACGCCAACTGCTCTTATTTATCGTGATGGTCGAATGCATTTAACATCAGGTAAATATTTTAACTTTACACAAAATGGAAATAGTCAGCATTGTTCAAAGGGAAAGAGAAGAGACGAATTTTCGACAGCTTCAGCGAAAAATTTTGTTTTTCTTTTCAGTTCTGCTCGAATGAATCAGTATAGTCTATGCACTTCATGATAGAAGAAAAGTAATCGTAAAAATTATCTTTTACAGAAAATTTTTCTTCATTTGTTCATTGTATTGATTCTCAGTGCTTTCATATATTTCTATTAGTGGTAAAAAGACAACCAGGTTCGTTGAGACAAATGATTAGTTCTGTCTTTTACTGTTTTTAATTACAGAGTTTACTTGTCAAGTGAACTATATATTGAAAATAGCAGCCTTACATCAGTTTGAGTGTTTCTTTTGCATAAGAAGCCGATTTATTTTATGTTTCAGTACAATCACAACCTGTTGTGGTCATTCATAAAGCAATATTACCTCGAGATCCTGTGAAGAAACAAAGTATAATTTTGTATTCTATGCAGTTCTATAATTTGGTATATTTCAGAACAAAATGAAACACATAATTCTACTCTTCCAACAACAACCATTAATGAAGCAACAAATAATGTTTTAAGACGTGAGTTATTTTATTTTATTTTTTTATAGTAATTGTCTGTTTGTTATAGAAAGCTCTATGGACAATACAGAACAATTGAAGAATTCAACAAGTGATGAAATCTGGTATCCAAAGTTATCACGATCTGAACAAAATGCATATGAGAAAGATATTAGCCGCCTTCGATCAATTGTTAAACCGAAGGGGAAATCAGTAAATCACGTCTCAGTTGGAGAGATTCATGTTTTTATTCGCAATAGTCATAAAATTAGACGTCGAATGTTATTCCAAAACAAAGATATCGATTTTACAATGAAGGTATTACAATATCAAGAAATTTTTCATGAAGAAGCAGTAAGAAAGTTTTTTGTTTGATTTATTGTTTGTGATCATAAAACTGTTCTTTTCAGTTTTATTTTTCCTCTTGATGATGTTTTCTATTTCTACTTCTTTCATTCTTACTATCTTCAAAGTCGTCTAAGCTCGATTGTTTGAATTAATTGCCATTTTAATTTTGTTGCAGCTTGTTTTTGAATATTCGTTATTGAAGAATAAATTATGTTCATTTGAAGAACTTCAAGATGAAGCACGTGAAATACTTAATGATATTATTCAAAAATATTCAGTTCAAAAACAACATCAGGTGAGCATATCTGTTCTGCCAATTATCTTCTTTTGATTAATTTTTTTTTCATAAAGATGAGTGAAGTTGATTTTATGGCAATAAAAATTTTATGTGAAGATCTTCGCGAACAAAATATTTTCTTTAAGGTAAAGCATTTTTCGTTTTTTAATTAATTTTTTTTTTGTTTATTCAGTATGGTTTACCTGATCCTCATCCGACAATTGGAATTCTAATAATGCCATCATCAACTAAAGAATTTGAGAAAGCTTTTATGTTCATAAGAAATCTGCCCTATAAAATGCCGGTGTCTCTTGGAGGTGGTGGTCTTCATCAGATAGTAGCACTGCTTCTCATTTCGTACATAATACTAGATCATTTGCCTAGTCATAAATTACTTCAGACCCTGTTCGAAAAATGTAAAAAAAGAAATCAACGATAAGATAGTATAATTCTCATGCACAGATATTTTTGTACTTTCGGCTATTTATTTTTTCTTGTCTTTATTACTTTATACTTGAGCAATTTCTAAAATTGTTTTTTGTATATATATTTTTGTGAAACTGAACCATGTAATATTCATTCCATTCTGATATTGGATTCTCTAATTTATTTTCTTTCTAGATAATATCTTTTTCTAGATGTA